ATAAAGCAATGGGAGATTTACTGAGTTCCGAATACCAACCATCTGCTGACCGATATCATAACAATCAAGGAGCTGTCACAAGAGAATATCATCGTATGCAGGACAGAGTTCCAAATTCACTAGGCGATCAAGATAAAAAAATTAGTCAGACAACTAAACGACATGTGACATCAATACAAATTGACAAAGCGAATGCAAAACATTCATTTCATGAACATCGGAATCAGCCTCAGCAACACCCATCAAGTTTGACAGATGCTAATAAAGAAAATGTCCATACGCGTGTCCATGCGTTACAAGGAAAACCAAGAAGCCGCTGCTGCCCCGAACCAACAACAAGCGGTACCACGAAACGCATCTTCCGGCAATGAACAATGTTGTCCAACAAAAGCCGATGGTACGCCTGACATGAGATGCACGGAAAATAAAGAAAAAGCGGCTCAGCAACAATCCCCTTCCGAAACACAACCCAGCACAGACTCTTCAACTGCAACTGGTCCAACAAAGAATGATGGGACGCCTGACATGCGCTATAAGGAGAATAAGGAAGTAGCAACTACAGGTGCTGCTGAAGAAGCAACTCAGCCAACACCATCAGAAACACAAGATAATTCAAGATCATCGGAGCAAACAGGTCCGTTAAAAGCTGATGGAACTGCTGATATGCGTTATACAGAGAATAAGGAGGCTGCAACCGCCGCAGAAGCATCAAGTCAGCCAGAACCATCCGAATCAGCTGGTGGTGTAAGTTCATCATCTGAAGCTGGACCAACAAAAGCTGACGGTACACTTGATATGCGATATTCACAAAATCAAGACGCAGTAGAGGCTGAGCAATCGTTATCATCAGGTATTACTCATGCAGTTTTCAAACCATTTCTATCGTTTTGTTTGTTTTAGCCGTAAACATTGACGGAAGCTCAGGTATGGGATTAGATTCAGTGTCAATGGGAGAAGGAGCAAACAATAGTGATGGGCCGTTGAAAGCCGATGGCACACCTGATATGCGTTACAGTGCCAATCAGTAAGGAAAAAGATTCACTAAATCTCGACATTGTGTTGTTTTTCTTCACTGCTTATGTAAACTACTTATGCTAGAAATATATTAATAAAGCAGGATAACTCTAGTTTAAGGTAACTAGTTTCAGAAACTCGTTTAGCACACAAGGGATCAGAAAAGATACTAAAAGATCAATTACTTCAGCTCAGAAATATAATGTTTTGTTACAAGAGTTATTTCTTTCATGAAAGATTACAACATTATATAGTCAGTTTCCTAATGTAATAATTAAATTACGTAAGGTAATTATTTGCCACCATACAAATAACATCCTCAACCTTCATTATCCAACTTTTACCAGACAATGTTAACCTTGGAACAACGAATGCAGATAGACTCAAACCATATTATGAACCAAA